CTAGTTTGGGGTATGTGATTGGATGGGTGAATGTGGCTAGTTTGGGGTATGTATTGGATGGATAAATGTGGCTAGTTTGGGGTATGTGATTGGATGGGTGAATGTGGCTAGTTTGGGGTATGTGATTGGATGGGTGAATGTGGCTAGTTTGGGGTATGTGATTGGAGGGGTGAATGTGGCTAGTTTGGGGTATGTGATTGGATGGATAAATGTGGCTAGTTTGGGGTATGTGATTGATGGATAAATGTGGCTAGTTTGGGGTATGTGATTGGATGGGTAAATGTGGCTAGTTTGGGGTATGTGATTGGATGATAAATGGTTTGGGGTATGTGATTGATGGCAATGTGGCTAGTTTGGGGTATGTGATTGGAGGGGTGAATGTGGCTAGTTTGGGGTATGTGATTGGATGGGTGAATGTGGCTAGTTTGGGGTATGTGATTGGATGGGTGAGTGTGGCTAGTTTGGGGTATGTGATTGGAGGGGTGGATGTGGCTAGTTTGGGGTGTGTGATTGGAGGGGTGAATGTGGCTAGTTTGGGGTATGTGATTGGAGGGGTGAATGTGGCTAGTTTGGGGTATGTGATTGGATGGGTGAATGTGGCTAGTTTGGGGTATGTGATTGGATGGATGAATGTAACTAGTTTGTGGTATGTGATTGGAGGGGTGAATGTGGCTAGTTCGGGGTATGTGATTGGATGGGTGAATGTGGCTAGTTTGGGGCATGTGATTGGATGGGTGAATGTGGCTAGTTTGGGGCATGTGATTGGATGGGTGAATGTGGCTAGTCTGGGGTATGTGATTGGAGGGGTGAATGTGGCTAGTTTGGGGTATGTGATTGGATGGATAAATGTGGCTAGTTTGGGGTATGTGATTGGATGGGTGAATGTGGCTAGTTTGGGGTATGTGATTGGATGGGTGAATGTGGCTAGTCTGGGGTATGTGATTGGATGGGTGAATGCGACTTATTGTAACTGTCACCAGCATGGCAGAGAACCTGACTGCCCTGTTGTGGTTTCCCTTGTGGTTGTCCGAGAGCGTGTTATTGATTCTGGTAATTCTGGTTAGTTGACTTTGGCATTGTTTTTGACTTCCTTGTTTTCTGGCATCCCTGACTCCTGGCTTTTCCTTATCATTGTGTCTCTTTCTGTTTCCCTTGACCTCGGCTATTCCTGACTATTGTTTGGTACGTTAGTCCGGCCATTCTAAGGTCTGGTATACGTTACCTATCAGTCCTTTGTGTTACACAAGTCTACGTGCTGGATCATTCTGTAATCCTGACACTTTTACAGCCTGCTAATTAGGTGCAGCTGACCCTAATTGGAAAAGGGCTGCAGGTGGATTAGTGCTGCTTAATCCAGAGAACCTGACTGGGATACTGGAGCTGTGAGTTCAAACCCAGCCAGGTCTCTTAAAGGGGCGGCCACACCTTGCTGTCTGCAGGGCTCGGGCTGTGCCGTGACACTTATTTGGGGTATGTGATTGGATGGGTGAATGTGACTAGGTTGGTGTATGGTGTATGTGATTGGATGGGTGAATATAACTAGTTTGGGGTATGTGATTGGATAGGTGAATGTGACTAGATTTGGTTATGTGATTGGATGGGTGAATGTGATTAGTTTGGTGATTCTAACTGGATGGGTTAATGTAACTAGTTTGAGGTATGACTATATGGTGAATATCACTAGGTGGGTGGTTGGATGGCAATAAGTGGGTGACTAAGTGTATGAGTGTGGCAGGGTGTGTGTGTATGACTGGGGGGTGAGATAGAACTATCTGACTGGATGAACAGGGGAATCTGGCCAGTTCAGAGTATGGTTGGGTTGCTGAATGACAATGTATATATATAAGAGCATGTTTGTGTGGAATGTTAAAGAGTGCATGTAAATGACGGGTGTATTTGTGTGCTAGTGTGTGAATTCAGTGGCGCGTGCTTATAGAGTACCATTGTGTGCATGCAGGAGTAAATTTGTGTGACTTTTTAATGTGCATGTGCGGGTACTTAGTGTGCTTGTATAGGTGTTTGTGAACTGTGTTTCCAATTCCCATCTGTCCCCCCTTTATCGCTCTATGGCCTTTTATTTCCCATAATGCTCTCACAGGCAAAGCATTGCCAAAGCATAATTTGATATGTAGTCCAAAACATCTGGAGTGCCAAAGGTTGCCCACTTCTCCTCTACTCATTTATTTCTCCCTCACATTTGTTACTCTCCACCTTCCCCCAATCATGCCCTTCTCTGCATAACTTTCACCTATTGGTCCCTCTTCTCATCTGCCCCTTTCCTTACTTGCTCCCCTTGCTCCACTTTTCCACCCTTCTTCACACAATTGTTCTCATCTTTTCTCCCCCATCCATCTTATCTCCCCTTTTAATAGTTCTCTTGTGTTCCCCCTCCCCCAGTTCTCTACTTTACTCTTACCTCCTTCCCATGTTTCTCTTCTAATTCGCCCCCTGAGCACACCTTACTGCTTGGCCAGGGATGTGGGGATTTCAGTATAACTGCAGGCAGTCGGAGGTTTAGGAAGTCACGTGGGATCTCCTGCAGTTCAGTGTCTGCATGCAGAGGGTGGAAACACTGAATGTCAGTCACACTGTGCAGCACTAACCCAGGAAGCACCTCTTGTAGCCATATGAGGAGTGGCCAGTGGAGGTATCCCTAGGCCTTAATATAAACACTGCATTTTCTCTGAAAAAACAGTGTTTACTGCATAAAGACTATTGACTATACTCACCAGAACAAATTCAATAAGGTGTAGTTATTCTGGTGACTATACTGTCCCTTTATAGATCCATAAAACTA